GTCAGCCTTATCTCCCCTGCCCACTGCCTTATGCGGCTGACCCCTGCAGACAGCATGCCCCATTATCCAGGCTCCTTTGCCCTCTGCCTTTAGTTGGGTTCAGCCAATATCAGCAAGGTATTGTAGAGAAGTAGGAGAAAGGGACCAAAGTATTTATTCCTTCTGCTTTTTATCTACTCTGTGCTGCAATCTGACATTGGCTGCATCTTTGCAGGGCAATAGCTCTCTATAGGTGACCCCACCCCCAACACTCAGGGTTCTTAAAAGGGGTTATTCCCATAAACAGCCGCAGGGATAACATGGTAACCGGAGCGTTTCACCCGCAATGATGGTGGTTCATTTATCATGAGGTACTTAAGAATGAAGGAGATGGGCAGCATTCTAAACTAGGGCTGGATTTAAGCAGTCAGAAAAATTCTAGGTCTGGGGCAGAAATCTCCCTTACGTTGCCACGATAGGAATTCATGGCCTCCCATCATGTTTTCAGACTCAAACCAGTGCATTCTCAGACCAGAACACCATGTTTAAAATGAAGGCCAGAGGGGCGCCTGGGTGGCTCAGTTGGTTAAGCGTCTGCCTTCAGCTCAGGTCATGATCTCAGGGTCCTCGGATCGAGCCCTGCATCGGGCTCCCTGCTCCGCAGGAAGCCTGCTTCTCCCTCTCCCACTCCCCCTGCTTGTGTTCCCTCTTTCGCTGTCTCTCTCTCTCTGTCAAATACATAAATAAAATCTTTAAAAATAATAAAATAAAAATAAATAAATAAATAAAATGAAGGCCAGATCTCGAGGAAGGAGCCTGCAGAGCTGCCTCGCTGAATACCTCATCCTCTTCCAAGTCGTCCTTGGGAGGACACGTGACGTAGAGTTAACTTTGAAAATGGCCTGTTAAAAGGGACATGCTCAGACCTCCCAGGAGTTAGTAAACACTGGCTCTAGGTTTATACTCATTTTTATGGAGTTAAAACACCACTATGGTCCAGTGGTGACTTAGTTTCCTCTTGCTGCTATAATAAGTAACTACAAAGCTGGGGGCTTGAGCCAACACAAATGTGTCATCTTACAGTTCTGGAGTCTGAAAGAGGTCCTACTGGGCTAAAGTCAAGGTATCATCAGAGGTGCATTCCTTCTAGAGGCTCCAAGGGAGAATTCCTTTCCTTACTTTTTCAGCTTCTAGAGTCTGCACTCCCTGGCTCATAAAGGGACATTATAGTAAGAAAGACCAAGTGGAAGCCCCTGGAACTGTCCCTCCTTCACATCCAAATGGTAAAATCAAAAGTAATACCACATCCCTGGGTGAGTAGAGATTACTGTCACTACCTAAGAACCCAAAAAAATGCAAGAATGCTGATTCTCTATCCTATACTCAATAAATTTCCCTGTTCAGCCAGTGCAAAAGTAAGATGAATTCTGGAAAATGATAATCAATCTCAGCTGCCGTTTCCAGAGTGGTAATTTTACTGGGTCCAACAACACAGTCCTAGTATCTGGGTGCTATTAACCTGAAGAATATTTTTTTCTTGATCTAATTAATAGGACTGTCCAAAAGAGTTTGCCTTCATTTAGAAGGGTCAGCAGTGTAGCTTTACCATCTTACTTCAGAGTTATATCAACTCTCTTGCTCTCTGTCATAGTATGGTCTCCTCGGACCTTGATCATCTTAATATCCCATAGAACATCACACCGGTCCATCACATGGGTAACATTATGTTAATTGGACCTCAAGTACAATAAGTAGCAATTTCCTTAAGTGCTGTAGTAAGACAAATATGGCCACAGAGTAGAGGGTCAATCCCATGAAAACTGTGCAAAGTTTCAAGGAATTCAGTAGTCTAGAGTGTGTCAGCCTATCCCCTCTAAAGTGAAAGATAAGTCACTATTCCTTGTATGCCCACCACGAAGAGGAACAATGTTTGCCAGAACTCTTCAGATTTTGGAGAAATAATATACCACAACTGGATGTGCTTTTCCAACCCATTTGCTCAATAGCCTCTAAGCCTGTCTATTTTGAATGGAGCCTGGAGCAAGAGAGGGCTCCCAAGTTGAGGCTGCTCTGATATTTGGATCTTAATGACCTAGCAGACACAATAGTTATTAGCCATGTCGGTGGCAGCTAGAGATCCTGTACAAAGCCTCTGGCAAGCCCCAAGAAGAGAATCACAGAGTATATGCCTAGGATTTTTAGAACCAAGGCATGCCCTCTTTGCCAATTTATTAATTATCTATCCATGTGTAGTAACATACCCCCCAAACTTTGGGCCCATCTTAGACTTTGGCTACAGCCGTCAACAATTATTCACTACATGAAAATCAACTCCTCTCTTTCCAGAGGGTTCTGGTAGAGACAGAAAGCATGATCAGGGAATGCCAAGCACATTAGTCTCCTAAGACTGCTGCACCAAAGTACCACAAGCCGGCTGCTTACACAACAGTAATGTTGTGTCTCACAGTTCTGGAGGCTGGAAGTCCCAGATCAAGGGATCAGCAGGGTTGGCCCCTCCTGAGCCTGTGATAGCAGCACCTGTTCCGAGTTTCTCTCCTTGACTTGGAGATGATCATCAACTGGTGTCTTTTTACCTCATCTTCTTTGTGTGCATGTCTGTCTTCACGTTAGATTAGAGCCCACCCTAAGTACTTCTCTTTAACCTGATTACTTCTGTAAAGACCCTATTTCCAAATAAGGTCACTTTCTGAAATACTGGGAATTAGGACTCCAACATGTCTTTTCTGGAGGAGTGGCATCCTGTGAAGTGAAAATGGTATTTTTAAGATATGGCCGAAGAGCCCAAATGGTCGAGCAGGCACAAGAAAAGCACATGAGCAGAGAGCTTAGGCTTCATGACAGCTTCCTCAACGCTTCCATGTCTCTCGCTCAGCACACACCTGCAGCTCCACAGAAAGTTCTGGAGAGCCAGGCAACAGGAAGGAAGAGCCAGCCATATATGCAAAGTGAGCTGGCACCAATCCCAAGTGAATGCCTCCCCATCACAGACCCGCTCAGGGATACCCTGAAATATGGTAGGAAGAGAAATCTTCCTAAGGGACAGAACTTTTATTACAGCTGTTTTTCCATTTTGTCTGGAAAGACAGACGGCCTGATACAAGATCAACACTGACTCGTAGGTGGTAGCTAATGTGTTGGCCAGCTGGTTCCCTAGGGACTCGGAAAAGAACAAGACTGAAGGACTGGTGATAAAGAAGTTGGGGTAGGGGAGATTTGGGAAGGACTATCTTGATGTGGGAAGAGTGGGAAGGTATTTGTGTCTCATGGAATACCCTCCAGAGAACAAGATTATCTGTCCCGTGGATGTCAGCCAACCTCCCTCCAGCTTCCCCTTGCCGAATGTACAGTGCCCTGGTACAGGCATGGAGGCTAAGCATGGGCTCAGCTGTATTGCCTTCCCCCCCCAAGGCTGATGTGACTTGTGGCTTCCCTCCCCCATTGCTTTGTGTACAAACCGGTGAAAGCAGAGGCGAACACTGAGCCCCCAGCATGGCACCATTTCCTGTAGTCCTGTTGGATGCCTCTTTTCCCGGCCCCAGCTCACAGGCTTCAGTAGCCCTATTGACTCACCTTCTAAGCAGGTGGGAAAGGGAGGAGTGGATGGATTTGAGACACTTGTAAAGGCAGGTATGAGAGGAACTGATGGCCAAGTGAATATGGTAGGAGAATGGAGAAGAAAACCTGAGATGAGCGAAGTTTTCAGTTTTTGTGAAGGGTGAACAGGAACACTTTTAATGCAGACAGAGATGATCAGAGAAGGGCAGGGAGAAATTGACAAAGCAGGTGAAGAGTTCAGTTTGAGCCCCTGGAGGGGGGTGTGGGCGAGCATATGTAGCTATCAAGAGCAACCAGTGGTCAAGAGTTTAGAAGCAAAGTCAGCACTTGAGATAAAGGATGAAAACTTGAATTTATTCATAACCATGTGTTAATATCCCACAGGATTTTGCATGTTTAATCTTTTACCTCTAACTATGGACACTGAGGCTTTGCTTTTCAGCTGCAGTGAACCCAAGCTGAAGAGGCCTTTAAGGGGGTGGGAGTACTCATCCTCAGGAAAGGAAGTAAGTATAGAGAGACCCTAAAGGCAAATGTTTACCAGAGTATTCCAGAGCATTTTATACTGAATGCCAAATGCACAGACCTCATCTTGTCCCATTTCTCTCTCTCCAGCAACCAGAAGAGGGTCTGGCACCTTGCAACCACTCAAATATTTGGGGAGTGGGCAGAATAAATGGTAATAAATGCCACAGAGGATGGGAGAAAGGAAGGATGAAAGGAACCTACTGGGCAGGAAGGGAGGGAGAAAGGAATGAACCTACAGGGCACAGCGGGGAGCTGGAGGAAGGGAGAAGCCACATCCAACCTTTTTCCCCTTCCTAAACTCTCTTTGCAAGACTGAAAGATGAGAAGCCGTGTGAAGCGATGGTTAAGAACATGGATTCTGATTTCAGGCTCCAGGACCTCCTAGCTGAGGGACTTGCACAAGTAACTTAACCCTTCTGTGCCTGGACTTTCTCCCTCTAAAATAAACACAATAAATGCTTAGAGCAGCTCCCGGGAAAAAGTATGTTCCACATAAGTGTTTTTGTTATTTTTGGCATCTTGATGAGAAGGTAAGCCTGCAAGACAAGCTGGAAATTCCCTGCGGAGGGTGAATTCAGATACTTAGCCTTTAAGAGCCATTCACAAAGACACAATCACCTTTTCTCTCCCTTTGCCTTCCAGAAGCTTTAAACACCCCACTACTTCCCAACAGACTTTCACTAGCAAAAAAAACAAGGGCCTGGGTTTTAGTTGGGCTGCCAGCAGTAAGCCGTTGAGTTTGCAGACCCCATGGGAGCCGAGCGCCAAGGTCCCTTTCCGCTACGGCGGACTACCGTGTGCGCGCCGGGTGCCAGACGCAGGTTCACCCCGGCCGCGGCTCTCGCAACCCCGCCCGCGCGTCCCGGGGGCCCTGCACCCTGCGCGCCCCGGCTGCCGCCCAGCGCCCTGCACACGGGGGAGGCGCCTCTCGGGCGCCCTCCGGCCGGGATGCCAGTGCCGGGCGCCCGGCGCGCGTTCGCCCGCAGCCTGCCCGCGGCCTTTATACCGAACGGTCTGAGCGCTCACTAATGTTTAACTCGTGGCAGAAACTTGGGAGCGCAGAGTGACTCCGCGGCCCCGAGCGGTGGAGCTGGACGCCCGTCTCCGCGGCTCGCCTGACTTCTGCCTGCGCTCCTGCTCCGAACACTCAGTTCCGGGCCCACACCGACGATGAAGGTGAGTGAGTAGCGCCTTTCCCTAACCCCAGGGTCGCGTTGTAGGTGCTTCTTCACCAGACTCTCCCCCAAATTGACCCCGAAGCTCGAGGAACGGGACCACGGGCTCCTATTCGGCGGAAGCTCCAGGGCCACCCTGTGACAGGTGAAGGGCCGTCCCAGAGCCCCCGCCTGGGGCTCGGCCCCCCGGGGTTTCTGCTAGTACCAGGCGCGAAGCCTGGGAGGACGCAGAGAGCCACCCATAAAACGCAAGTTCGAACCCTCACTTGGCTTCTCCCTCGCTCGGCTTCTGACGTGCAGGAGGCCGTAGAGAAGCAAACGCTAATGTGCTCTGATGCCACAAGTTCAAGGGCAACCGCTCTTGCAACCTCCGCACTCCAAACCCTCTCAGCCCACTGTGCCCCTCTTCCGGATGTTCGCCCATGGGCACATCCCGCCGCCTAGGGTGCAGCGCGGGCCCCGACACTCTGCCTCTGCCAGACTGGGGCCAGAGGGCTCGCTCTAACTGGATACGATCTGACCGGCTTGCAGACGCCGTGGAAGGTGCTCCTGGGACTGCTGGGGCTCGCTGCGCTCGTCACCGTCATCACCGTGCCCGTGGTTCTGCTGAACGAAGACAGTAAGTTTGAACCATTTGCAAAAGATAAGGCAATTGGAGACCAGGACCGGGTTCTGTCTTACCACACTAAGCACACGGAGAACTAAGGATCTTGCTGGGGGCTTGGACCCGTGCACCAGGTTGTAGCTGAAGCTTCCCTGGAGTTGTTGCTTCTTCTAGGGAGTGGCTAGATGTCCCTGGTGGGGTCTCCAGTGTGCAGGCTGCGAGAGCCTTGTATCATAAATGCCTACTTCCCGCAATCAAGGAGAAGTCTTAGGATTTCTTTTTATTAAATTCAAGTTTAAATGTTTAAATTTAATATGATTTAAATTAAAGAAAAAAAAAACCTTTGTAGTTGGGACCTTCAAAGGAAAAGATGTGGTGTTTAAAGGCTTCAAGCAGTAGTAGGGATGTCATAAAAGGAGGGAAAAAATTAAGAGAAGGAACATCCCCAAAATACAGTTTTGAGAAAAGACTACATGGGGAACCGAGGTTCTTTTCCTTCCGGGACGATGAAAATGCATTAATCAGAGAGTTAAGGTGCAGAGAAAAAACTACTTGACCATTTATAGAAATATGTCATAGTAAATCATAAAGCTGGTGTACATGGTAATATTCAGAGCGGGGTGGGATCAGTGATGTTTGGTGGATTCTTTCATTTAAAGCCGCCTTCATATTTTCAGCTTGCCTGACAGTTCAACTCTAGCTCTTACTATAAAACGTTCATGTAATGGGATACACTTTATTGGATGCAAACAAGTGAGAACATCTAGTTTGGGTTTCTTCTGGCCTTACTTTCCTTTTAAGTAAATATTTACTTTCGTTTCAGTATTACACATTCTAGTCAGCCAACTGAAGCATTCTCTCTGGATGGTCTAGTCAACCAGGAAATGTGTAGACAGTGCTCACACACTGCGGGGTCTTCTCCAGATTTCAAGGGGACAGTTCAGAATTAGTTTGTGAAGCTGTCAAGAACTGTTTGCCTGGCAATTTCAGGGCCAGGGCAAAAGTACCAAAGGTTAAATACCTGAGTGTGCTGATCTATTGATAATGACTTTTAGTTAAGAAAGCAATGGTTACCACCACTTGAGATAATCCAATGGCAATCATCAGTTCCCTTACGTTTGCCTTTGTGTTAAAATATAACTGTTTTCATAAAGTGATACTTTGTATATTTAAACAACCACACACACAAAGCTTAGTTGTAAGAATGGGTCATTCAGGGGCACCTGGGTGGCTCAGTTGGTTAAGCATCTGCCTTCGGCTCAGGTCATGACCTCAGGGTCCTGGGATCGAGTCCTGCATCAGGTTCCCTGCTTAGTGGGGAGTCTTCTTCTACCTCTGCTCCCCGCCCCTGCTCGTGATCTCTCTCTCTCTCTCAAATAAATAAAATCTTACCAAAAAAAAAAAATGGGTCATCCATACAATCAATAAATATTCACATGGCTGACATTATGTCCCAGGCATTGTGCTACTTGCTGCAAATACAAAGATTAAAATTTATAAAGCTCTCTGACCTCAAGAGGTTTATATCTACTAGGAGACAAATATGCAAAAAAATCAAAGTAACCTGGATAGCCCATTTGTCTCCAGAACATCACTGAGGCACCACAGCATCACTGGAAGCATGGGTGTAAAACTGTTAATTATCAGCACTTTCCTTAAGGACAGTGGAAGGAACACTGAACTTTGATAAACCACTTGAAATAGGCAGTGAAATGGCCTAGGGGCCTGGGGGGTCATGCAACTGCCATCTAGGGGATTTGGTCAAGTTAACTATGGGGGATTTTGCTTTGCTGGGTGGGGCATGCAGACTGGGGAGGGGCTGCCTTGTCATTTCCCTTAAACCACACCTAGTCTCTTCCCCATATGAAATTTGGACAAATATTTCAAGAACAGTCTTTTGATGGGACTTCTCCAGAGATTCATGTGTCTCCATCAAAGCATTATGATTCATTAAAATAATTTAGAGAGACTTGAGCAAACTTCCCTGTGGATTAGAAGGATTACTTCTGGGAATGTCAAGGAAGTCTTCTCAGGAGAAGTTTCTTCTGTAGGGATGCTCAAATAGTTAATATCAGTGTCTGGAGATAAGGTTTTCCAGAAAATATAAACGCCTAATGAGTCACAGAGACACAAGATCGCATCCTCAGTTGGATCATAAAAGGACTCCTAGCAGAAGAGCAGGGTGGGCAGAAGCAAAAGGAGTTGATTTTAACCTGCAGATGATGAGAACTACTGGAGAATCTTGCACATGCCTGGACTGTTGGGCCTGACAGTGGGAATGTGGGTTGAGTGGAGCAAGGCCAGAGGGGAAACAGGGAAGTGTCCCAGAAGACTGATGGTGCAGAGCAGAATTTGAAGGCTATCAAGCTACGCAAAAATGTGAACAATTAGACTTCGTAAAAGGAAGGGGAGGGTGGCTAAGGATGCCTCTTGGGCAACTGGGTGGATATGTGGTTTCATTGTATGCTTTATTTACACTTAAGAAACAACACCCAAGTTATTTCTCTTCTCATATTTCTTAATTGGTATATATATATATATATATATATATATACACACACACACACACACACACACACATACACACACACATATATTTCAGGAGAAAAGAAAAATCATCTTGTTTCAACTGCTGCTTTATCATAAATGAAAGCCCAGGAATGTGGCATTTTCACTAAATCAACAATCTCGTTCCTGGGCTGTGCCACAATGAAGGACAGCATTCTTACAAAGAATCCAGAGTCACCACCCAAGAAATGTTCTCCATATTGTCAATCTAGGTTTAAAGTTAAAAAAAAAAAAAAGTACTAGGAAGGAAAGAAGGTAGGAGGTGGGAGAGAGGAAAGATGAATAGAAAGAAAAGGAGGGAAGACAAGAAGGGAAGGGGAGGGAAGAAGATTTTGATAGAAAAACAAAGTCCTAGATCATGTGGAAAGCTAAGAAATAAACAGCCAAAAGGAGGACAAAATGAGCAAAACCAAGTTCATCCCCTGAGAGGTTGTCGACAAGAGAAGGTTAAGTGTTTCCATATGAAACACTGACTTTAGCAGAACTAAACACACCCAGAAGAGAAAGAGAGAGAGAGGCAGAGAGGCATGAGCTTAATACTACTGTATTTTTTTTAGAATAAAAACTCCTGAGGTCAGGAATTATGCATTTCGTCCAGCAAAATTAAAAGTTCACCTCCTTCTGTGTATATAATAAAAGACTGTATTTTTATTATAAACCCTTCAGATACTCTATTATGGAAGGATATTACATTTAAACATTCAGTTTCCCAGAGTCATCAGTAAAATAGATAAATGTACTTTACTCTCAATGGAAGTATAGAAATCCTCATGGCTTACTGGTAATAAAACCTCTGACTCAATATGTGATCCCTTTACTTCCCCTTTCACATTATATTATAGGCTATGCTTTTGAAATATTTGTCAAGTAGTTTTATTATTGAGTTTTATTGTGGGATAGAAACATACCTGTTCTTCTTTTGTTCTTTTCACTGCTTTAGCAGTGAATTTCTTCCATATCTTCTTTCAGTGCATAGGAAATTTGACTGCTCACCCATCCATCAGTAATAAAAGGAAACCCAAATGTGAAGGAGACAGGAATAATCAGAGAAAGAAAAGATAACAACTGTGAAGTTTGTCCGAGGAAGTCCAGGATCTGTTCCAGGTTTAAAAGCCCATAAATGAACCTGAACGAAAGCTTTGTATATTTCAGAGGACAATTTCTAAACAGTGAGTTCCGTAAAAGCCTGAGTTGACTTCAGCCAGCTCAGCTAACTATTGTCAACCTTTGTCAAGTGTTCATGAGGTCAGTGGGTTGGTCTTTTTCAGGTCAGCGCTTGTGGTTCCTTAGCCACAGTATGTCCCTTAAATTTCTCTCATACACATCTTGCCTCTCATCCCAAAAGTGATCAGAGAGGAAAAGGGAAGACTGTTTGCCCAGTCGATGGATAGAGAAAGACAATGTAAAATGACTAACTAGAGCTGGATCAATGTACTTAACGAAGTGCTGACGCCATGGGAAACGTGACTGTAAACACATGCAGGACCACCTCACTTACGGAAGAGAAGGCATGCGGACCTGTAATAATAGTTAACATGTGTTCTCTCTGTGCCAGGTATTGGGCTGAGGGCTTTTAACGTACTTCTCGTTTGATCCTTAGGGCAACCCTTTGAGAGAGGTTCTGTTATCGTCTCCATTTTTACAGAAATGTAAATTTTACTTTGAGAGGGTGCTTCAGTGATTTATCACTGCATAATGAATGACCCCAACACTTAAAACGACGAACATTTGTTATCTCACAACTTCTGTGCGTCAGGAATTCGGCGGTGGCTTAGCTGGGAGGTTCTAGCTCCAGGTCCCTCATGAGGTCTTAAACAAGGTGTCATCTGAAAGCTTGACCAGGGCTGGTGGATCCACGTCCAAGCTCCATCACGTGGCTGTTAGCTAGACATTTCGGTTCCTCACCATGTGGGCCTGTCCATGGGGTGGAAAGAAGGATCCAAGAGAGCAACCAAGTGGGAAGCCACAGAGCCTTTTGTGACCTAGCCTCAGAAGCGATACGCCATCACTTTGCTGTATTCTATTGCTTGCCCAAGCCAGCCCTGATACAATGTGAAAGGGCATGACGCAAGGGCATCAGTGCTGGCCGCAGAGAGCTCCGGGGATCGTCCTAGAAGCTGGCTACCCAAGAAGTTAAGGAACTTGCTCAAAGCTCCGCAGAGCTGAGATTCACACTCAGGCAATGTGACTCTAGAGCTGGTGCTCTTAAACTCCAAATCATTCTGCTGGTTTTGATCAAGTATAAATTCATGTGGCCATGTTAGCATAAAGTTACAATTTCCCATGTATCTGCCTATATTATAATTTCATGGCTGCTAATCCCTGGATGCCAAGTGTCCTGAAGAAAAGTTCCTGCTGCTTTTGCCTCCATTCCTATATAAAGCTGTAGACAGGCAGTGACTTCCAGCTCAGGTCCAGATTTGCTCCTTGCGCTCAGTTACACCTAC